CATTTGAGTCTAAATATAAGAAAAGATGAAAGATGTTTTACTAAGCTGAGAAAGTAATCAAAAAATGTTTCAATATAAGGACCAAATATTAAAATGTTAATATAATAGCTTATCAAAATAGAATTGCTCTTCCACAAAGAAGTAAAAAATTAAAAATATATAAAAATCAGGCATAAGCAAACAGAAATGCATATGTACACAGGTCAAGTGAATTATAAGAACTTACAAAAAAATCTCCAATATAAACCATAATCTGAGATTCTATATCAAAAGAAGTAATTACATTTTCTACTTATTTTGAAGATATAATCTACATTTAAATTTTGACTTATTTCCGTTATCAACCTGTACTCATTTATACTTTTTACAAAGTTTCTGGATGAAATTAACATATTGCTTTTAATGCAAAATTCATTACTTCTGCTAGGCAAATGATGTGATTGAGAGTTGTTGGAATTCTGTAAAATCTTCAACTTGTTATGCAATCATCCCTTGCTATCTATGGTGATGGATTCTGGGACCAGTGCAGATACCACAAGCCATGGTTGCYCATGTCTGTAAACTGACATAATATTTACAAATTACCATTTGCATTTTCTAGTATAMTCCAAATTATATCTAGATTATTTAAAATATCTAATAAGATGTAAATAGTATGCAAACAGTTGTATGCTGTATTGTTTAAAAAATATTGAGAAAAAATAAATGTGTTTTTGTCCAGTACAGATACAAACATTTTACATATAACAGCATAGTGTATGATCCATGGTTGTTTCAGTCCATGGATAGAGTGCCCCACAGAAATGGAAAATCAACTGCATATGTATATTTCTAAAATGCAAAGGGGAAAAGGCAACTTTATTTTTTAATAAATARAAGCAACAACATGAGGCTGCATTGTTGATTGTTTGGAACTTGCGTACTCAAACAGTGTTTATTGCRTTTGATCCTATCTTGAAACAGAAATCTTTTCAGCACTAACAATGTTAAGGTGTTGGAATTACTTTATTGTCATAAAATTACCAAATGGAAATTGGAAACAAAAGAAATTGCCTGTTTCAGACTTGTAGGAAATTAACAACAAAAATAAAGTGTTTCCAATCTTCATATCCTCAAGAAAAGAGAAGTACAAATAAAATTATGAGAACACTTTCCAAAAATAATATCACTTTGTATTAATGAATGTTATTGAAGATAACATAATATTACATGAAAATTGGTTTTAACATATTTTTAGTTTGGTTGTTATATTTGATTGTTATATGGAGAAGTTTAGTTTAGGTACTAGGTAATTTAAACAAATCATTCTAATGAGCCCAGAGAGAAAAGATTTATCAAAATATTTTTAATAGTATTTTTAGGTTCCAGAGAGCTCTTGAGTCTTTGAAGATTTGGGATTTCAAACCTTTGAAAAGGTGCTCTGGAGAAAACCAATTTAACCTGGGATATGAAGCCTAATAAGAGCATGAAAAATGAATAAGCAGATCTTTGACCATGCCCAGGAATGTAAATAATAATATTAATTTTAAAAACCTGTGGCCCATTATCTCTCAGGTATGAAGATACCTAATAAGTATTGTTTTCACAGGTACTATAGCTCAGCCTGAAATAATTTCAATCATTGAATAGATCAAGATGACCTGTACCCAATAGTGCAATCAGTCCATCCAGAGTATGATAAATTATCTTTGAAAGAAGATAACATCACCCTCAGACTGAGTTAKCTTTCAAAGTTTTTCACATAATATTTTTGTACTTGTCAAAAGTATGTGGGTATACCATGACTGGGGATATTGTGACCCAAATTAAGGGGAACAGCAGACATTTGAAATAAATGCATTGAAGATTTACATGACAAGAATAACACAGAGAGAGAGAGAGAGAGAGAGAGAGAGAGAGAGAGAGAGAGAGAGAGAGAGAGAGAGAGTTAAAAAGCCTGTTGTTTATGTGTTCAAAGACATGGTTGAGAATTCCAGATACCTGAAAACCTATAAAGACAGTATTCTTAAATTAAATCATTTTCAAACTGAAAACTTTTTGCACAGTGAAAATTCTTGTTAGAAGATAAAAAGAAAAGTTAAAGATGAAGAGAAATTATTTGCAAATCACACATTAAACAAAGGACTTTTTTTTAGAATATATAAAGAACTCTCAAAACTCACTGTTATCACAGATAATTAAAAAAAAATATGTGCATAGAGAAATGTACACAGATGTGCATAGCAGTATAATTTATAGTAGCAGATTATTGGAAATCATGCAACTGGATTTCAGAAGGTGAATATTCCAATAAACTACATTTCCATTGTATAACCAAATACTATTCATCAATAAAAAAGAACCAAGTATTGACACATATAATAACTATCATGAAGGCATCGTACTTAGGGAAAAATCAATGTTATTCGCCCAAAAAACTGTTTATTACATCATTCTTCACAAGACAAAAATATTGAGATGATTGCCCCATGATAGAGAAAAGGGTATGTGAACATACAGGAGTAACATGAAAGAGTTCCTTAGAGGAGATAAAATAATCCTGAAGTTGATCTTGGTTTTAGAGGCATGAATTTAGGCAGGGAATAAATTGTCTATAGACATACACATTAATGTAAAAAATGTTGAAAACTAAGATCTTAATTTAATAGTATTTAGTAATGATGATTATGATATTTTCATATTAAGATTTTATCCTCAATCTTTTATTGAGGTAGGAGGTTTTTCAATAATGTGTAGCACACTTACTTTGTGCAAAACATTAAAATCTAAATTTTTACTTTGCTAAATTAAATAGATTATTTCCCAAAAAAAACCCCAACAAAATGCTTAGGAGCACATTTTAATGTTTTATAAATGCATATGAATGTTGTATGTTGTAAGCCATTGCTTTTGTTGTATAATTTATTTGATATAAAGTGAGTGTGATTGCAATGTAATGTGTATATTTTTAGCATTTAATAGGACTGGCTCAGTTGGTGAAAAATGATGTGTGAACCAGAGGACTGATTTAAAAATATCCAGCCTATTTCCAGAGTTCTCTTTGTCATTTAGATGACTTTCTCCTCAAATAAGATATAATTTTCTAGTACAGTTGTCATAGAATTCCACATTAGTGCTTTTACTAWGCAGAGCTTATCCAAATGTTGCAGCTGGAAATTTTTAATGAACTCATGGTTAATGCTGCTCATCCTGACACAATTTCTGTAAACAGAATTCCCTTTTCATCATAAATGTGGGAAAAGAATCCTCGAATATTTTAACTTCAGTAGATCAAATCATCCTGTCCAGAATCCCTTTAAACCTGCTATGGAGGTGTCCTGTTTAAGTTTTAAAAACTTTGTGTACACAATGAATGCATGAATAGTTTTTTATTTTTTCCAAATATTATAATATAACTTTCAAGGATTTGGAACAATCTAAATTCATTTTTTAGTGCAACAAATTATCATTCAAAAGCTCAACAGATTTTGTAAACCGTAACAACTATTTACAACAATAACATCAGACCTTTAAAATAGAACTGAAAAAAAAAACATACAGAAAGAAAATACACCTCAAAAGCAAAGATTTTTAGAAAACTGACAGATATGATGATATTTTAATTAATAAATGTAAACTTGAATTTCTGTTTTAGAGAATTAAATAATAATGTGTGAATTAAGCTGCATTTGTAATATTTTTTTAATTGGTTGTTCAAAACATTACAGAGCTCATGATGTATCATCTTTCGTACATTTGACTCAATTGAGTTTTGAACTCCCATTTTTACCCCAAATACAGATTGCAGAATCAGGAAAGGTAGCAGAATACAACAGTCACTAATATGGCATTATGTAAAAATGTGGCATTTGTAATAATTTTTAAAATTGGTTCTTTAAAGGAAAAGCTCAAAGCACTATGAATGACAATGCTGATTTTTAATGTTATCAAAAGGAAAGCAACTTTGAAAGAAAAATATAAATAATAGTGATTTTATGGCAAACATGAAATGTAATTCGAAACAAAAAGGTCCAAATTTAAAGAGTACACATAAAAGAATGCCCTTTGTGAAAAAAATTAATTGAAAAAAATAGAATGCACTATTCTTTGTTCACGATTGTCAGATTAACATTACCTGCCTCTGTTACTAAAAATCTTATGGTATTTTCTCTTGCTGCTGAAACTTTTTCCTCAACTCATTCCATCACTTAAGAGTAGCTCAATGACTGTGAATGACCATTGAGTATTTTTACTTTTTTAGCACTTCATATTCTTTATTGTAGTCCTCATTCTTCTAATGCTATTGAAATCAATTGTGGCCATTTTGAGAGCTCCTATTGTCCCCAAAGAGAGCCAAAATAACCTTTCAAAAGCTGAAAGGAATCTTGCTTCTTCATTCTCAGAGTTTCCTGAAAGTCTTCCCTCTGCTCTCTTTTTACTGAATATTCTATCCCTCCCCTTTCCATAGTCAAAAGACAAAAGATTCTTTGATGTTCTTAGGCTCCTAGAAGGGAAGAGTAAAGAGATACCTTTCACCTGACAAAGCAGAGAAGAAGCACAGTTGATGCCCCAGGTCAGAAGGTGGATTGTGTGTGTGTGTGTGTGTGTGTGTGTGTGTGTGTGTGTGTGTGTAAATCCATATTTTCTTTATTAAACCATGGATTCCTTTCTCCCTCTCTTCCTTCCTTCTTTCTTTCTTTTTCCAATGGATTGAGCCGAAGGGCACTCTTTTGACACCGGGTCTCCATAAATTCCAATGACAGGCCTCCAACTTGGAATCCTCCCAGCTGAGCCACTGGGATTATGGGTGTATGCTCTAGCACCTGGCCATTAATTTCTGTTGCTCGAATTTTTCAATAGAACTTTGACTACCAGTTATATTAAGAATGTAGAAATAAAAATACCATCCATCCAGCCCAATACTTGTTTCACTGTCAATTTATTTGATAGAAATAATCTGTCAATATGTGAATTAGAACAAAATATGGGACATGTATATTGCATTTCAAGGTGACACTTACTGTGGTCCAGCTGACTTGCTGACCTAGGTCTGTAAAATACAGTGTTATAATAGAGGAAGCTGCAACACTTTGAATAGTGATGTGGTCCCTCAAAAAAGGTCCACCTAAGATAAAAAGAATAAGAAAATACTATTTAAATACAATTTGAAAATAAAGATAAATATTTTCTTAATTTGAAACCAATGACTGCAAAGAAATTTGTATAGAAAGTAAAATGCATAATAATCTTTCAAACTGAAAATAACGAACAATACATTTTATAAAATAAATGTATAGCTACTTTAAAAAMTCTAGAATTAGAACCTAGTCAAATAAGATACAAGATTTTTTTATACAGTTTAATTTTAGACATTAATAAACCTAAATCTCAACTACTCTCTAAATGATTTTTTTTAATAAGGAAAATTAGATGCGGGTAGATGAATTCCAATGATCACTAAAAAGCATGAAAAGAGTGGCGTGATTTATCTTTTTAAAGATCACTCAGGATCTGTGTGGAAAATGAGAAGGGGAACAAAGAAGATTATTAGAGAGTCACTGAAAACTGATCAAGCAACAGATGATGTTCATTTGGATTAAAGTGGTAACTGATGGAAATATTGATGAATTATTCATTCCTGATATATTTTAATCACAGATCATGTTAAACTTGCTGATGAAATGGTTGAGAGGAGAGGATTCAGTGAGATAAAACAGTTCTTATATTTTTGGTTGAGTACTTAAGTGTATTATTATCTCATTTACTTACATGAAGAAGACTGAGAACAGAGCAGGATTTGGGAGTGCAAATTGAGAGTTCTATAAGCATATGTTACATTTTTGATATTTGTTATTCAAGAAATAGTTTTCATGTAAGCAGCTCAATGGATATCTCAGAAGATACTTGAAAGTCATTAACATTTAAAGCCACAGAGCTTGACTGGATGGTTTAAAAATTTAGTTTGAGGGCTGGGGATGTGGCTCAAGCTGTAATAACCCGCTCAACTGGCAAGCTCGAGGCGCTGGGTTCGATCCTCAGCACCACATTAAAAATAAATAAATAAATAAATAAATAAATAAATAAATAAATAGATAGATAGATAGATAGATAAATAAATAAATAAATATATTGTGTCCACTGAAACTGAAAAATAAATATTAAAAAATTCTCTCTCTCTGTCTCTTCTCTCTCTTTAAAAAAAAGACTTAAAAATTTAGTTTGAAAATAATAGAGTAAAAACAAACTGAGCTCTCTAGCTCTTCAGGTTTCAGACACAGAGAGAGGAAGATACCCTAAAAGTTACTGAGAAGGACATTCACAAAATAGGATAGAAACCATGTCTTAGAAGAAGTAAACATTCTATTCATAACAATTAACACCAGACAAGTCTGAAATATTTGTAATAAAGATATGTATGTAAATTTTTTAGCATTGTTTATAATAACAAAAATTGRAAAAAAAAGCTTAAATATTCCTTAAAGAGATGAGATTAATGTGTTTTTAATTCATAACAATGTATATTATGGGGGAAGAAAAATTAGTGGAGTCACATGTACTAAATGGATAAATCTTGTGGGTATAATGCTGATATTTTTTGTTATTATAATTGCTATTATTTATATCATGCTTTATAGTGCAACTTGATTTGTAATATCCCTCTTATGAAAAGTTGTCATTCCATTTTCTTTTTTTGAAAGAAGCAGAAAAATGTTAATTTGAGTTTACCATGAGGTGATTTTTCAGAATTTCAAATGCTTATTTATATCCATAATCAGGGTTATTTAAAATAAGTTAAAATATATAGTTCTTGTGTATTACACTTAAAGATGGTAATATGATACATCCAATTTTATTAGTCAGAAAAATTATTTATTTTTATTTGTTCTTTTCTATTTTTATATTTGTGAGAGTTATAAAATTTGTATTGATAATTTTGAACYCTGACAACTTGACATATGGAGAAAAATAATATTAGTCTCAAAAATGACAATCTATTTTGAAATGATAGAGTTTTTACTTGAAAATATAGTATTCCAATTTTATTAAATTTTTTATTAATATAGTTCTAAATATATTGGGGTTCCTTTTGATATAATGACGCAAGCATGTTATATTAATTCAGTACCTAGTACTTCTCCTTTCCGTTTCCTCCTCCCTCCTGCTGTTCCCTTCATTCTACTCTACTGGTCTTTTTTTCCTATTTATTTATAGTTTGTTTTTTTAAATAATGCATTATAAACATACATAGAAATGGAATTCACTGTGATATATTCATATATGTACACAGGATAGTTTGGGCAGTTTCATTCCACTGTTCTTCCCTTTCCCATGCTTCCTCCCTCCCCCTCAATCCCCTTCTTCTACTCCACTGTGTTCTCATCTATTTTTATGTGATTCGCCCTCCTCTTATTTTCCCCCTTGTTTTGCTCTAGCTTCTACATATGAAATTACACATTCCACCCTTACTTATTTCACATAGCATGAMGTTCTCCAGTTCCATCCATTTACTGGCAATTTTACTCTTCTTCATGGTTGAGTAAAACTCCACCATGCTATGGACCACATTTTCTTTATCCATTCATTAATTGACAGGCACMTGGGCTTGATTCATAACTTGAATAACCCGAGAATTTAAATGGAAAAAGTAATAATACTCTGGGTACTTTAATGAGAACCATTTTACAGTTACACTACACAAATCTGCTTTAAATGTATACACACATACACACATGCATATACACATAAAATTGGTATTACCTTGAAAATGTGAATGTAGCTCAGATTTGTACTAAGAAGATATATGTGTTAGGCAGGTTTTTAATACATAGCTATAAGATTCTTGTCCTCTTTCTTATCCCTGGGATTGTGACTGTGATAATCATTGCTTTTTTACTAAATTGTGTTACTTGGCTTTTAGCAAAGGCAATTATCCAGGTGGACCTGATCTAATTGTGTGAACTTTAAAATCTATATTTAGAGATCAGAAACAAGAATTCAGAGATTGCATATGTTAGAAAGATTTGTGCTACTCTTAGCTGGAAGGCAGAGATGGGCACATGTCAAGACTACGGGTGGCCTCACAGAACAGATAAAACCCTTACCACMTGACATCCAGTAATTAAACAGAAGCCTCAGTCACATTATTGCAACAAACAAACAAATACAAGCACAATTTAAAGCACATACAAACTCTTACAACAACATGAATGAAGATGGAAGGGTGTTTTACTGAAGGGTCTTCAGATGAGAATTCATCTCCACCAACACTTTGATTACAGCTTTAACCTATGCTGAGCAGAGACTCCAGATATAATGTAAAATCAGCCTAATAAAAGGGAATAGCTCTGGAATGTTAAATTTGTGGTAATTTGTAACATAAAAAGCTAACAAAAAATATGAATCAAGATAAATAATTTGATTACTATATGGTCAATAATACTTTGAAATTGTATTATAGGAATGAGAAAATGTTAATAGGGAAAAAATTCTGWTGCTTTGTATCACTTGAAAGTGTACTGAAAATACCTTTCCAACACACATTTATTGGCACTCCTAAAAGAAGGATYCGTTTTTATTCCTCTATCATCCTTGTTAATTTTAAGGGAGCACTGACCTTTTATTTTTAAAATGTTCCATCAATTTGACATTTTGAAAAACAACCTGACAAAATCCAGATATATCATAAATCACATCACTCTTAGATTTAGGAATCTGGACTCTGGTCCTTGGCCTTCCATGACTATGCTCCTATTCCAAGAGGGAGAAGCATGTGGAATCAAGAGAACATATCTAGCAGGAGATACTGCTGCTCTTTCTAGATGATAATTCAGTCAGGTAAGGACTTCACATTTCCTGCACACATTAACTCAAGTATAAGTTTGTCTTTGGATATTTTCTTAGGAATGGGCCAGGCTCTGGATTGCATACCCCTAAACCTGGGGTTTCTCAAGTCTGTTGTAGTTTATGCTTGTGGATATGTTTTATGTATTGGTTGCAGATAGTCATGAGAAGAGAATAAAAGCCAATTCTATCCATGTTTCAACTAATGTAGCGATCCAATAATAATAATAATTAGAAATTTAAACCAGTCTTTCCAGTTCATTATGAAGCATGTCATTAAGGTGGCAAAACAACATATTTTGCTTATCAGTTTGCATGACAGATTTACTGTAATAATAACTATAATTTTAACCATCCCCATATTCATATTATTCCCAGTATAACTTTGTAGTTTCTTCATAGACAGTTGATATGTACTTCTCCACCCTCAAATATAAGCTAATGACTTGCTTTGACTAACAGAATGTGAGGCAAGAGATCATTTACCACTTCCAAATCTGGGTCTAAAGAATTTTTGAGTGCATCTGCTTATTGTTTACATTTCTGTTTCCACCATGTGAAAAAGCGCAGAATTTCCTGCCAAAGGATGACAATCATATAGCACATGACCAAATAATTGGAGTCATGCTACAACAGTCATTAACAGTAAACACAGCTGCAAAAATTAATATAGTTAACTTCAGCCAAGTAGAGTCTGGTTCAGCAGAACCAGTGAGCTAAATAAATGTTTACCATTTTAACCATAAAAATCAAAGCTTGCCAATTTATAATAGCTAAGCTGTGGAACCAACCTAGGTGTCCTTCAATAGATGAATGGATAAACAAAATGTGGTACATATACACAATGGAATATTACTCAGCCATAAAGAAGAATAGACTCACAATAGGCTTTTGGGGTGGGGAGAGGGAGGAACACAGTTTCACCCAATTGGTCAAGGGTAATGTGGGAAGGGAAGGAGGATGAGAATAGGAAAGACAATAGAATATATCTAACATAACTTCCCTATGTTCATATATGAATACATGACCAGTGAAACTCCGCATCATGTACAACTACAAGAATGGGAAGTTATTCTCTCTCTCTCTCTCTCTCTCTCTCTCTCTCTCTATATATATATATATATATATATATATATATATATATATATATATATACATTCTCCTGTCATGTATAACTAAAAAAGAACAAAATAACTGAAAAACAATCAAAGTCTGCTAAATCTTGTTGATGCTTCAGAGATGTCTCTTTATAAAGATTTTGTATAAGTCTCTCATTTCATATGAGGTTATTGCCCATAAAGCAATTAATTCTGGTAAATATATTCTGTGAGCAAACATAATTAATTTTTCTGAGTGTGCTTTGTTTTATAGTACTGTGTATTTCATTTATAATATAATTATTTATTAATATGATTAGTGAAAAACTCATAGTATGCAAGAGTCATTACATGCTTTATAAAGACAATTTTTAGAATACTTAAAATGATTTAAGTATTTTATTAGTTCCACCTTACAAAAGAAGATCTATAGATAGGTAACTATAAAAGTCAAGGTTAAAATTCTAAAGTTACCTAAGTAAACTTTTTATTTTGCAACAATACTCTAATCTTTCAGTTAATTAAGTGACTCTTTTATCAAATACATTATCATGTTCCTATCCAAGGACTTATCAAACACTTATACCATGCTCAGATCAAATCCCAGTACACTCAATCAGGTAAATTGCTGAGGGCCATTGCCAAGTAGGAATGACGCATCGATATTTCCTCGCCAGCATACCCCATGTTAAATGGACTTGCCTTGGAAATTTGCTGTGACCTTGCATGTGTGTTTGAGAAAGGTGACCCTGCTCAAAGACCAGGGCGGATCCGGGTTTAGAGCTGATCAGGTTTGAGGAAGTTTCCCGCTCCTTGAGTTTAAGGCGTTCCCCGTTTAAGACAATAGGGGTTTTAGGGAAGTTGGAGGTTGAAGAATATTGCTGCTGGGATTAGGGTGTTCCTGCTGCTTGTTCCCGTTGAGTTCTCGTGAGATTCAAAATGGGATTTGGAAAAAGCCTCTTGGAGTAGGTAAATTGGGCGGAGAGATTTTAGATTGCCCCTGAACCTGTGTGAGTTCTGGAATAAAGGATTGMTGTTTGAATCTACAAGGTGTGTGGTGGCTCCTGATTCTGTGCCAAGCAGAGACCTTGGCAGTAAATAAATGTAAGAAAAAAGCAAAAAGTTGGATTAACAATTCTGATTCCCTTATACTATCCTTGACATTSAAGTTACATTTCACATTGAGATCTTCAGCTGTCTTGGAGAACATTCTGTATATTAGAGTCAACGTCAGTAAACAGTATAACTGTTACATTTCATGTATTGTACTAGGATCTGTGGAGGAAGATGATGATGCTGTTTTCATAAACTCTAGGAAGTGAGAATTTTTCTTGAATATCTAAACAAGAATAATTCAGAGATTATCAAGAGTGTCACTTTTAAGAATGTCACGGATTCCTGTGTGTTTAATATACAGGTCTCATACAAAGAGGTCATATTTGAAAAAATATCAGTTAGAAAAAACATCTTTGAGACATAAGAGGAAATCTGCATTTGTCTTTATATGACAGTAATAGCTAAGAGTAGAGAACCTGAGTGTCAGCGAAAGCCTTAGAAAAAATTCAGTATATTAGTTAATGGAAATATTAAAAATGTAATTACTCAAATGTCTCTTGTAGATTTAATATTTTGGACTTTGTCTCCCTTACAATGTCTCCCACAAAATAAATAAATAAACAAATTAATTAATTAAATCTTACCCCAGCTTTCATTAAAATTCAAAATTCCTAATTTAAAAACAAGTTGACTCAAAGTCAATAATGATGATCCTTAAGTAAGACCCATTTTTAAATGTATTTATTGAAAAATCTCCTGAGAGAAACAGTTCAAAATTCCGAGAAACTTTAATACTGAATATAATATTTCTCCTCCTAGTTCACTAATTTTGCCTCTCATTACTTCGCTTTCCCTACTTTATGATTCCAAAAAGAAAAACAAACAAACAAAAATATTCAAGGAGTTAAGCATTATCTCCAAGAATATTTCAAAGAACAATAAAATGAGAGCGTAGAGCTGTTAACACTTTGGAGACAGAAAAAAATTTAATTTAGATCCTGTTTCTAATACTCAGAAAAGGTGAATATGTGAGAAACATCTTTTTGAGACTAATATTCCTCATCTATAAAAGTGAAGCACTTGGTGAAAATATGTAATATTTCCATCTACTCACTAAGTAATAAATATGAGACACTGATGGTAGAAAACTGATTCTAAATTAAATAAATGGATCAGTGAAAATTCTTACCACATTCTAGCTGTAGTCCAACTTGAGAAGGGCACCACTTGGGACCTATTCAACGAAAATTAACAAGTAATTATCACAAAAATAAATAAAGAAAACCAAACGTAGATTAAAAATCTAACAGCTTCCATTGAAGCACACATTGCATCTTGGRAATTGAATAAAATGGTTACACTATGTGAAAAATGAAAATAGTAGCTATCTTTGACAGAGCGCTGACCAGCAGTGGTGGTGAGTGAGAAGAAAAAATTATGAGGAGAGCTTTCAGTTGGCAATTTTCTACTTTTTAATCTTGGTACTGATGACATTGGTGTGCTTAGGCTACAGACATGTGCCAATATGTGTGGCCTAAGATTGATGCACTTTAGGWAATAACAGAAGCCATCCAGAGCCACGGTAAGGGGGTCCTTCTTCCTGCCACAGAACATGTAACCCACTGTACAAAAATTAAAGTCTAGAATGATCAGTGAGGAACAAAAGACAAAAAGTCAGAAAAGATAGTTTTAAAGGGAACTTGGAGCTTCTGACAGGTCCAGCCCATATAGGTGCAGGAGCTGAACAACTAGAAAATAGCTCCCATGTTTTATCTAAGGGGTACATCAAAGGCAGCCGTAAGGTTTTAGGGAGTCTTGCTTCATTGTGTCTTGCAATCAGCAGGTTTATTGGCATCTTGGCAGGTCACACCCATCTCTGAGAGACTGTGTGGCTATAGCAGGTCACCCCCTCCCCTATGCTGTGGGACCAGGAAGAACTTGAATAGGGTCACATGTGTTTGGGTGGTGTTAGCCAGAGGAAATTTCCAGTGGAAGTTCCCAGACACGAGATTCTCCTATTCACTAGGCTGTGATGCCAATGTAATCCACACACAGCCCACAGATGGCTCTTGACAATGTAAATTGTTATTCAATAAAGAACTTAAACATGTTTATTTAAACTTGGAGACCTTTAGTCTCATTTGAAATTTGTCTAATTTAGTACTTGAAAATGGGTTATTTTCTCTATAGTACTAGGACTCTCTTTCAGAATATGTATTAACAACTTCTAATATCATGATTGTATTGATCACAAAAGAAATATCATTTTAATATGCTATCTTTATTCCAACATTAAGAATAAATACAATAATGCTATCTGTACAGAATCATCAAAACAACTTTCTTATACACAGCCATATTGAAAATTTGATTCACAATTAGTATTTGATTTTCTTAACATAAATTCTATAACAGTATTTTACAATCTCTATTGAAAATTCACTTGACTTTGAGATCCAATGTTAAACAAATTTTTTCCATTGTATAATAAATTAAAAAGAAGTATTTCTTCAAAGGAATGTTCCACAATTATAATATTTATTTTCAAAACATTACCTTTTAAGTGTCAGCAAGAGTGATGATAATAGACTGTAAGAATCAATTCTCCCTGAATTTACAACTTATACATGGAAGTTGTCATGAAAAAGTAACCCATATGGCAAAAATTACAACCACAAGTTTTATGCTAGGTAGAATTATTTCTAAACAAAATTTTGGAATAACATGACAAATAGTAAGGCATATTTAACTTTGTCATTTTATTGTTTAGAAAATATTTAGAAAAAGACACTTTGTTTTTGCTTTCTGTGTGTGTTTACTAATACAATGCTAATATTTGTTGTTTTGTAATATATGTTAGTATCATTGGATCAAAAATATTTAAAAATAAATTTGTTATGGTGCAATTCTGCTGTTAAAGAAAATATGATACCTATTAATGCAACAAATAACAGTTTTAATTGAGTTTGTTAGCAAACTATGGGTATTGAACAAAAAGTAAACTTTTGAKATTTCATTTATATTTGACGAACACTAATTGAATACTTATAATGGGTATATACAAGTTGTCAAGTTTTATCTATTTTAATAATATCCATTTAAGACATCATTTTCCACAGCATTATAAGACACATTTTATGGTGAAAATACCAAACAAAACTATCATTGTAGACAAATAAAACTGTCTATGAACTAGATGAATGGCTACTTGGGTTTCTTGTTGGGATGAGATGGATTAGACTGAAGAAAGTGAAGGAGAAAAGATAAATTTATAAAACATAAAAGACATATATTATGTAAGGGTTCTAGTATGACTGAATAGTTTAAAAGGTTGTTGTAGTGCTGTTTACATTGAAGTTGGACAACTGGCTCACAGATAAATGATAACTATACCAAGTACTTCCAATGATATGGCAGGTTCTTATACCATTGTAGGTATTAAACTTGATTTGTATAATTTCTACCATATTGTGACTTTAGAGTTCTTTAAATGATAATTGGAAGATAATTGATCTTTAGTTATTAAATTAACTAAGTAATGAAATAAGTAATGTCTTGCTATAATTCACATATATTTATTTTAATAAGGTTGTTATATCCAATAAGCCATTCACAGGCAATTAATATTTGTAAAAGGAAATATAGTACCTRTAGAATTGTATGTTTTTTAAAAGATAAAGAATGTGAAAAAATATATGTAGATGGATATATAATTAGAAATTTACACAAAAGAAATATTTACATTTTAGGATCATATCAGGAATAAAATAGAAAGTAAAAACGAGTATGTACAGAAAGACTTAGAATCTGTGTCAGTGTCTTAATGACATTCACTGTATAAAAATGAACAAAGGATAAYAGTTGATGAGCAAGTGCTGATGATAAATACTGGAGCCACCATGGTGCATCTCAATTTTAATGAATCCTTAATCTTACCMAAAGAAATGTCATTAATAACATTTTAAATAAACATAGATAGGAGACTTTTAAAATTATACAAGAGATATTTTTTAAAAATCTCTTTAGTTATTAAATGAACTTCATTTAACCTAACTTCAAAAATTGACCCAAAGTAAGTGGATGTGTAACTGAAAACCAGATATGAGCCTGATAGCTGTCAAGGGCATTTCAAATGATACCCTGATTCATAATCATCTTGCAAGGTAAAGAAATTAGAGCAAAGGATGAGCAAATTAAAGGAGCTATGACCATGAGGTGAAACAAATAAATTGATTTTCCAGAAAATAAATGGTAACAGCCTTCTTGTACTTAAATATAATGAAAGGAGCTCCAATTTTACATCTACTTTTTGACTCAATATTTTAAAGGAAAGATAGCAGGCAAGAAAACATCAATAGAAAATGTCAAACATGATGACTGGGCTTGAAATGYGCCTTTTCATGTGATGATTCTGAAGTATTCCATATGGTGTATCTAAAGAAGAAGAGATTTGCAAGGAAATCAAGATAATTTTTTAAAAGCAAAAAATTGTTAAATGAAATGAAGATAGTCTTATTCAAAAGAATAGCATTAGGGTTATCTGGAAGAAAGAAAGTTTTTGTGTAAGCTAAGAATTTCCTAAAAGATACAAATAGTTAACATTGGTTTTCTCTCACAGATATGTGTAATATATSTATTTAAAGGATAGCATAGCATATATTCCTACATTTGGTGGGAAATGAAATGAAGAACTTTTAAAATGGATATCACTTTTAAAAAAACTCTTATTCCATATTACTTAAAAATAATACTGTGAAATTTTTTTTCATTTTTTAGTCAGTAGGACATTAATATGTTAGTGATAGAGTTTGTGTTTCTGAAAAAAGGAACTGTTTTCTCTCTCATCTTAAACAAAAACAACTAAAAAAGTTAAATGCAAACCAGCACCAATAAAACATGTATTATTTTGCTGACYTTAGAAAGAAAAAGCATCTGCTAGAAAGTTCGCTATTACAAACTGCTCAACTAAGAAAGACAAGGTGCTATAACAYTGTATAATCAGCAATTGCAGAACAGGATTTCTGCGGAAGTATAAAGAAATTGGCTTTAAAAAATGCAAAATTTTAAAGCGACATAAACAAATACTCATAATTATGAAATTACAAGGTGATGAAAAGAGGTATAAAACAAATTCATATCTCAGAACAATTCAAGGCACTAAATAAGAATTGTGTGGGAGGAAAAGAAGAACATAGAGTGAAACTGAACCATTTATCTTCACTAAAGTTTATAGACAATTTATTCATCTAATTACTCACTATCATCTAAAGAAATATCAAGACTGATTGCTATGCCTATATGTCGTTTCCTTTGGACATCATCAGCTATTTAAGTCTCCCAGAGAATGCATTAGCACAATGGCACTTTTCCTAATTTTTTTTTTTTTTTTTTTTTGCACAACCACACTGATCAGACCTGATTGTCCACTTCTCCAGGCCTTTTCAGACTTTTTCAATGCACTTTAAACCACTCCTGGTCCAACATCTGTTATAAACTTCTAAATATCAAATTACACTCAATATTTTTTTTATGTAATATAAAAGTTCTTTTAATATTCTTCAACCAGTTTTTATTACTCATGAAAAACCCACTCAATTGTGTATTAGAACGTGTTTTAGACTCTTCTTGCTATCAAATCTTGCCCCAAATATCTGCTTTCCATTCTCCCTGTGGAATGCACATCATTAGAACTTGATGTCTAATATCATTCTTGTTGCTATCTCTTATGTTCTTTTACATCAAATGGTTGATGACTTAAATTCAGAACATCCTCTTTGCCACTACTTATATATCAATGTTTGTAATTTCAGCATCTTTTTCAATTTCTGTCCTTTAGATCTAGATACTCAAATCCAGTCTTTGGTCTGCCATTCTTTCCCAGAGTCTTACACTAACAAGTCCAACCACTCCAAATACAAATTTTGAACATCTTTCTCCTCATTATTATCATCCTTCCTTCCTATTTACTTATGCTGATATTTTTGTCTTAAATATTCTTCAATTATTCAAGGAATGTGCATAAATTATTTTCACTATGACAAAGTTTTCAGTTCTTTAAAGTTTCACACTATTCAAGGTTAAATTCTAGAATTGTTACCTAAAATCACACCCTGACAAAAAGGGTTTTCTATTTTGCCTTACTTTCCTTCTGTCTTACTAACTGGCAACCCTGACTCTGGTTAAGCTCAACTGTTCCATCTTTGAATTAATGCCTTCCACATGGAAGGCATTTTC